GGGGTGGGGATGGCGGGGGAGCCGCCTTCCCTTCTGTCTCTCGTCGGCGGCCGGGGGAGCGAGTTGAGGGGGGACGGCGAGCAGAGCCGAGCCCGGCGGAGGAGGCGGCAGCCGTCGACCCGCGCCAGGACCGGCCCCGTCCAGCAAGAGCCGAGGCGAGCGAGCCCGGCGCCCCTGTCGATGGGGCTGCCGCCGCAGGTGGGGCTCTAGGGCGGCGGCGCTGAGAGCAGAGGGTCGGCCGGGAGGGGACCTGATCCCCCCCCTTTCCCCTCCACTGGACCGCCTGGAGTCGAGCGCCTCCCCTCGGGGTTCGGTCTGCGTCGCGCTGAAGACGGGGCGGGGGTAATCCTCGGAGCACCTACAGCCTCCCAGGCGCCGAGATCCCCTCGGGGATGGAAGGAACCCACCTGATCCCACCTGCCAAGGACAACCATTGAGTCGCCTCCAGCCCCCGTCAGAAAAAGAATCCGGCTCCGAAGAGACTCCGGATTCGCGCAAGGAGAGCGCGGGGGTGGGGTGGGGGACGAGAAGAGACTGGTGGAAGCCGAGAGACAGAGAGAGTGTGGAGGAGGAGGAGAGGAGATCCGCAAGCATCGCTTCTGGCAGGGGATCGACTCGGTTCTGGATCTGTTGGGGGAGGGGATCTGAAGCCCTGAAGGAAGTGAGGAAGGACAAGACGAGACCGGCCAGAGGAATCCTCAGATCCTTTAGGGAGATGACCTCCCCTTCGCAGAATCCATCGGGTTTGAGATCCTGCGGGTGCGGAAGGCGGGGGACCCAGCCAGGCGTGTCCTGTTGTCTGAGGGGAGAAGAAGTTCTCTTCTGCTCCAGATGCCCTTGAGCCGGCTGGTCCCTCAGACCAGGGGAGGACTCTGCCGCCTGTCCCGCGGGGATCCCCATAGGAGGGGGCCAGGGACATGTGAGCCCTGAGCAGATCAAGGACTCTCCGACAGACCACAGCTGGAAGACGAGTCAGGCGGGCTCCGCTTGCCCCTGCCAGCCATGGCGAGGGACTCTCTCTACTAAACCGCCGCCAAAGTCAGAGTCCCAGAGAGCCACTGGGGTCAACGGCTTCGCAGAGCTTCCAGTTTTCTCAGTGATCTTCAGGGACCCTCCTCGCTTGGACGGTGCCCGTGCCGAGGGACCTGCTCCCCCTGCCAGGCCCTGCAGCCGACCTCTCCAGGCCCCCCATCTGGGACCCTGGCTGTGCCGGTGCCATCAAGTGGTGGGGCAGGGGGTGACTCCGTCCAGAGATGCCCTGGGTGAGCTTTGGCTTCCTGCTGCTTCTGCTTCGAGGGACCCGGGCTCTCCAGGGGGCAGGTGAGTGAGTGGGGCAGGGCGGGCTGGGCTGGGATCCGTGTCTGGGCTCTAGGGGAAGCAGAAGAACTGAGCGGGGGGGGGGGGGCCCCCATTTGCAGCTTTTTTGCAAAGAGAAGAACCGGGCCGGGGGGGGGGGGGACTCCATTTGCATCTTGTGTGCATCTCTCTCTCTCTCTGTCTGTCTGTCTGTCTCTCTCTCTCTGCCCACGTGTGCCTGAGACTTTTGAAAGGGCAGTGAGTTTGGGGAGGGGGCCTTCCAGCTTAGAGGCGCGAGTCCTCATGCTCAGGGCCGCTTGGACAGCAGGAGAGGAGGGGCGGTGTTTTTGGCATCGGGCCCTTTCCTCTCTCCTGCCCTGGCAGGACCCCCGCTGTCTCCCTTCCTCCCGCCTCCTCTTGGCCCAAGGAGCCCCCAGCCTCATCTGCAGCCACCTGTCCCTTGCCCATGGCGGACAGACGGAGCCTGGCCGATTTCACTCACGTGGCCCCAGGACAGCTGCTTGGAACCCCGGCGAGTGTCCCAGGAAAGGGGGAGGAGGCCCGGTTGCTTCCCCCGCCATCCGCCTTCACCTACACTTCCCGGGCCAGGCGGCCCTTGCCTCTCGGCAGACGGCTTTGGCTTGGCCGCTGGCCAGGATACCTGTCAGATGGGAATCCCAAGCTCAGGAACTGGCTGAGCCGGGTTGGGCAGGGTTACAGTCGGGGAGGATGCCGTCCACAATGCTGCTGATGTTGGCAGGGGTGGGGAGGGAAGTGTGTGTCCCCCCCCCCCAGCAGGAGATGCTCTCCCACAGAGGGGACCTGCAGGAGTGGGTGGCCTCGGGCACTTCCCCGGCAGCTTGGAAAGCGATCCCGAGGTTAGTGACTTTCCGTGGGAGGGAGAGAGAGTCAGCTCTTTTTCTGGCCTCATCTTCAGAAGCATCCTAAAGGAATTCTGGGTTCTTTCCAGGGAGTGGGTTAGGGCAGGGAGTTCTAATTATTCATTCCCCCCCCCCCAGTAATTTTACCACTTTGGGGCTGGCCAGTGTGTGAAACAGGATGCTCAGTCTAGTTCAATCACTGGCTGGATCCAGCAGGGCACCTCTTTATGTGCTGACAGCGATGCAGATGCAAAAGAACAGAAACTAAGGGCACAGCAATACATATGACATCAATACAAAGTGAAATGCTGCATAAGTTCACACAAAGAAATTAATGTTGAAATCCAATTTCCATGTTGTTTGTAATTCTTGTTGAAATACAAGAATTACAAACAACATGGAAATTGGATTTCAACATTAATTTCTTTGTGTGAACTTATGCAGCATTTCACTTTGTATTGAAGTGATGCAGATGCAAGCAGAACTGGTTTCTTTATAAAGAGATGCAAGGAGGGGGGGGGTCCCAAAGTCACAACTTTGCATTTGGAAGGTCTCCTTTCCACTCCCAAATCGACAGCACAGGGCAGTCCTGGGTCTGCTGCCAGGAGGGAGGAAGCCTTGAAAAAGACACTCGGCATATGTTCAGAGGCTCTTTTTATAACCGGCGCACATTTATAAAGGCACGCATTCCAGAGCCTGAAACTGATAACAGGGTTTGAAGCTAGATCCTGGTGCCAAGAAACGAACTGAGATGGACGTTCTGCAGAAAAATCCACAGACAAACCCAGTGCACCTTTCTTAAGCCCAACCAAAAGGATACAGGCTTGCTTGTTCTCCAGAATTCTTCTAAATGGATTTTCCCAGGGAGAGAGAAAGCAAAGGGACTGCGCGGGAGCCTAGATCTGGAAGTCAGTGTGAGATCCAGCCACCGCTCCAGTGGGTTAACGTTTCCTTCTGTACCCTTATGAATTTCCCACTTCTGAAATTAGTTTACCGGGAGTTCCTGGTACCCCAATGCAACATCAATCATCTTTTCTACAGGTGGATGTGCAGAGAGTCTCATGCTTGCAGCTGCATGCAAAGATCTCTTGATAGGGAGTACGTATACCAGTGGCAGAAAGGGGAAATGACAACTCTGACCTGCCACCACCAAATAAAACTATGCAGTGACAGGAAACTGTCCTTAGAACAAAGGAGCATCATTTCTGAAGTTGCCCATTGCCCATCCAGACTGGGGGGGCCCCTCTGGGAGAGCAAATTACCCCCCCCCCCCAATGATTCAGTGTGGATCTTCTTTCTGCTGGGGTTATTTCCTCCAGCCAGGTCAATCAACCCCCTTTATTGTACAGAGATTACAGAGAACAGCCATTG